TTAAACCAGTCGCGCTGCCTGCCTTGCCATGCTCCCAGGACATCCTCTGCCTTACTGCACATTATATCCTTCACTGCTTGCCAATGGTCAGCTGCAGTGTCCGCATCAGCAGTATCAGGGAGCTTGTCTGAAATTCGCTCAGCTTATATAACTCTTGCGAACAGCTGGGTCAACCAGCTTTCCGACAGCAACAGGTGCGGGTTTCGGCACAGGACGAGGGCTGCGGCAAATTGGACGAGCAAGTATAAGCTTGCTGCGAACTATGTGGTGGTCACACACACACACACACACACACACACACACACACACACACACACACACACACACACACACACACACACACACACACACACACACACACACACACACACACCATTGGACCATTGGACGCCCATCGCCAGAGGCGATGCTATAGCAAAAGCCATAGCAACTTGTGCCGGGATTGCACCATTCAACAGCTTGCAACGCTGAAGAATTGACCGCCAATATTCAACCTGGTCTACACCACACAGCTATGAAGTGGATTTTTCTGGTCAGTGAATCCCTACTTCTAGGTCTTTTTCTTCATTTTTTTCCCTCGCAAACATCACACCACATACTCCGGCATGCACTAGCTGTTGGTAACCACCCAGGAGAATGAAAGAAGTCAGGAGGAGTCTGAGAAAGAGAAGAATGACGTGTGTGGCCATAGTCGGCGGGAATCGAACCGGCAACCTATCGATTGGAAATCGCTGCACATACCACATACGCACGAACGCACACACACACACACACACACACATATGCATATGCACACACACGTACGCAGACCGTAATTCCGCGCATATAAGCCCACGGGCCTATATCCGGATATAAGCCCACCTCCGTTTATAAGCCCATGGGCTAATAAACAGACACAAATGCAACTCACGTGTCAAGTAGAAGTTTTCACAAAATGGACTCTTCCTACCATGGTACAGCAGGTCAGTGCAGTTTACCAGTAGAGTATGGTACAGCAGGTCAGTGCAGTTTACCAGTAGAGCATGGTAGACTGACCATGAGCATGGACTTGTACTTTTTCGTGAACCTTCAAAATTCGAATATTGGCCCATGGGCTAAAACACGAACATGTTTTACTGGATATTTTATCCCCAAACTGCATTGTTTCACCTATAAGCCCATGGGTTTACATGCGCGGAATTACGGTACGCGCGCACAGACACAAACACACACACACACAAACACACACACACACAAACAAACACACACACACACACATACACACACACAAAACATACACACACGGGTTAAACTAGGGAGAAGTATTGACATTATTATACTCCTCCCTGGTGACAAGAACTGATAAAACCGTCAAGAAACGAGGATAGACTGGACGCGGAGCATACCGATGTAGGCCGAATCAATCGCAAGTACAAGGTCACAGGATGCATTCGATTAGACTGGCAAGCGACAGGATCGGAGGTGGGAACAGGCAAAGCTTCAGGTTAATATAAACCGAATAGCCGCGATCAAGCATCATTTAAAATTAATTTAGTCAAGTGGTAGGTCTATTTTACATCCAGGGAGTAGTACTTTACCAGAGTATTGTAATACTAACTTCTCAAGTCTTACCATGCACCGTAAGCTGGTAAATCGTCGGTGCAACGGCAAAGGTCCGGGTATAAAAAGTGCTTCAGGGTTGTTTCGCAGTTGTAGATCTTCCCTAACAGCGGGTTTTCCTTGATTGAGTGTGAGTATAGTTATTGTGAGGTTTAGTGTAAATCCACATTAAGAAACATATATACACATTATGTAGTGTAAAGTCACTGCCACACTCTCCATGTGAACCACACACAGGGAAGTCATACAGAACCGGAAAAAAACATGTGCGCGCATGTGAGCCACCCCCTCCCCCCCCCCCCTCCCCCCACCCACACAGTTTTGCACCCGAGCATGCACATGCTTACACACAACTTGACACAAGTCACACATCCACAAACATGTCCAGACACACAGATGACATGCACACTTGCGGGAACATGTGCGAACCCCAGACCAACTATAAGTGCGAAACCATACACACGTGCGAGCACGCACATGCACACACACGAGCGGACATGCGCATGCACACACACGTGCGGTTATGCGCATGCACTCACACGTGCAGGTATGCTCATGCACTCACACACACACACACACACACACACACACACACACACACACACACACACACATGCGGACATGCACACACACACACACACACACACACACACACACACACACACACACACACACACACACACACACAAACACATGCACACACACACACACACACACATGCGCACACCATGTACACCCGAGCTGTTACTTCACATTGTGTGTACGTGTGTGTATATGCTTGACAATGTTTGTGTGTGTGTGTGTGTGTGTTTTTTTTTTTTTACTACAAAGCACTGGCCAGCAACATAAAAGGGGAGGTAGACAAAAGTGGACAAGCGAACTTTTACAACACAGAGGAGCGTGGCATGCGTGCCGATGAGGTAGGTCAACCTCCCCCGACCTAGTGGTCTCGGGTTCAACAGTTGGTCTACGCATCAGGAAGGGGAAATGGACAGAGAGAGGGAGAATGAGCATGAGGAGCTTCCCAGGAGAGGAAGAGTGAGAGAGAGAGAGAGAGAGAGAGAGAGAGAGAGAAAGAGAGAGCCAGAAAATGATATTAATAGAGACAACCGGTTATTCTCAGTGCTGGTGGACTTCAGTGGCCCATAGCCAATTGGTCTGGCGGAGGTGATGGTAGGCCTTGGTCTTGAATGTCGGCAATTTCTTGAGAGTTGGGCGTTCGGCAAGGATTGGGGCAGGCAGTGTGTTCCAGCTCTCCAGGACAAAGTATGGGAAGGAGCGGCGGATGAACTCTGGACTGGAGGCTGGCAGAGGAGTTGCGAGTTGGAAAGAGTGGCCACCGAGGGACTGGCGTTGCCGGCGCGTCCGGGGTGCAGCGTTAACTCTTGCTGGGAGAGGTACCATGTTGGTAAGCAGAGCTGGACTTGGTATGCATTGCAGCTTATACAGGTAGCACAGCCCGTAAACATGCCTTCGGATTGCCAGGCTGGGGAGCAATGAGGGGCCAATAACCTTCATGGCTCGACGCTGGACCAGGTCCAGCTGATGGAGGTGACAATGTGCCGCACTTGCCCAGACGAGAGAGGCGTACTCCATTATAGGCCGTACAAATCCTTTGTACACAGTTAGGCGCCCTGCACTGTCCAGGATCCGAGATGCCTTTCGGAGCAGGCCGAGTCGCTGGTTGGCTCTAACGGCAAGGGAACGGATGTGGGCCCGGAAGGAGAGAGTACTGTCAAATAACACTCCTAGCAGCTTGAGCTGAGGGCTCTCAGGCACCTGCATGCCATCAAATGTGAGCTGTGGGACATCCAGGGATGGTCTGTGGCGGTCAAGGAGTATTGCCTGAGATTTTGATGGCTCGAACTTTATCTTCCATTGGGCACCCCAAGTCTGCAGGCGGTCAATAGATGCTTGGAGGCTATTGCAAGCAGCAGCGATGGTATCTGGGTTTCTGATTAGGGCATAGAGTGTTGTATCGTCCGCATAGACAGCTAGACTGGAGCCTGGGGCTAAACACTGTTCTGCATCGTTTACATAATTATAACAGGAAAAGAGTGGGACCTAGGAGGCTACCCTGGGGCACTCCAGCCTTGATCGGGAACAGTGGGGAGGACTGACCGCCAACAACTACAGTCAGTTTTCGGTCATGGAGATACGACCTTAGCCAAGCCAGGAGTTGGCCGTGGATGCCACATTGCTGTGCCTTCGCAAGGACACCTGGGTGGGAAACTTTGTCGAATGCCCTGGCAATATCAACTGCCGGGGCATGCACAAGACCGCCGCCAGCCAGGGTAGTGGCCCAGGAATGCTGGAGAGCCGTCAGTAGGTCACTTGTGCCCAGTCCGCGTCGGAAGCCAAATTGGGACGAGGAGAAGAGTTGATGGGTTTCCAGGTGGTTCACAAGCTGCCGATTGATGATACCTTCCATGATCTTAGAGATGATCGTCAGGAGAGATATAGGCCGGTAGTTCTTCGTCATGGATTTGGGTCCTTTCTTGTGCACTGGAACGACACGGGCAATTTTCCATGATTGGGGCTGGACTCCATTTGCAAAACACAGGCGAAACAATCTAGCCAGTGGATGTGCTAGTTCAGCTGCACACTCCTTGAGTACTCGTCCTGGGATCTCATCTGGACCAGTGGATTTGGATGTGTTGAGACGCTTCAGGCACTGTTGGACTTCAGAGACGCGGAAGCGGATGCGCTGCAGGCCCAGAGTGGTAGTGCGGGGTGTTGCTGGTAACTCAGCGTGTATGGTACATGGTGTATGTGTGTGTGTGTGTGTATGTATGTGTGTGTGGTGTGTGTGCGTGTGT